AATCCACTCCCAGCGTTGTTGTCCATGTGTGTGAAAGTGAAACAGAAGAGGAAGATGAAATAAAAAACCCCAGACAGAAGATTGTGCAGACCAAGCGTCCTGATCCACCGCCCACATTGCTAAATGAGACTAAAACTCTTGAATGTACGCTAGAGGTAGGGGGTGGGATGCACTACTGACTTGAGACTATCTAATAATGGCAGTGGATGGTGGTTATGTTTGCTGCTTTATGTATAGCAGCAACAGACTTCTCTTGTAGTCGTCTCGCGTCAAGACGATTTTAGATGCCAACATTTTGAAGAGCACTTTAATTTTTAAGGTTAACTTCCAAGATGTAGCAAATCCACTGGGTTTCAAGTCCTAGAGTACTAGAAGAGTGCCATTTCTGAAATCTGTGTTACCATTTTCTTGATGTTCAGAAGGCTGAAAGGAACTTGACTACTCCCATCTCTGTAGGGTTACCACATGGTTTTGTATGTGAGTCTTTCATGTATATTTTGTGTGCTGATGTATAACATGATCTTCTGAATAATATATTGATGAAAATAAATGTAATGTACAATGTACATTGTTATCAGTAGAAGAATCTCAAACTGGTTTGGGGTGATAGAACCAAATTTCTGAACAGTCTTGTTTTGTGGCTTTTGTTTTTCCTTAGAAATGCCATAGTTGTGTCTGTTGAATTTCAGAGTGTTCTTGTGAATTGGTGTGAGGCAAAAAACACAAAAACCCAGAATGGGAACTATAGTTGGTTGTCTTTCTGCTCAGTGTATTAATGAAAATTGAACTGCATACAAGGAAGCTGCAGGCTATGGATTGATTTCTTCTTTGGTATTTGCTTCTTGACTTTTCTTAGTTTGTGTCTGCCTCTTGGTGTGGCTGTTCCTAAAGCAAGGTGATTCTATAGGTGTGTTTAGCTTTGTACCTCCAACATCAGGAACTGTGCAGCCAGTGGGGGTCCTGTGTCCACATGGCTTCTTGCCAAATATAGCACCACTTGTCCAAACAACTGGATGTTTCATCCTGTGTCTGGGACATAGTATATGTTCCCCAACAAAGAGGTGTGAATGCAGAAATCCACAGTCACCCCCTATAGCAGTGATAGCTGTATGCTAATGCAGATCTAGAAGAATGTTTCAAATACTTTTCCCTCTTCCTCTACTTAAAGGCCCTTCTAACATGTCTGTCATTAATGCTCCTGGCCCAAAGTTTATAATCTGGCTGTGTTGGTCACCATAGTACAGTGGCTGGCTGAGCCATTATAGTCCTCCTGCCCTTTATGTAGTCTACATATTGATCATTGCCCCCTCTTCAGATCCCAAGTGTAGTACCTTTTCTTTTTTCTTTTTTTTTTCTTCCCCCCACCCACCCTTTTTTTTTTCCCCCAGAGAGGAAGACAACAACTCCTGGCAAACTTTTGCTTGGACTGCTTTATCATTACCTAGACCTTCCTCTGTTCCGCAACGTCAAACACTCTGTTCTTATTGCTTCTCAGGAAGGGAGGAAAACTTGCAGTAGGATAGTTTTCTTTTTGCTGCTGCAGGAAAAGTGCTGACAATCCAGCTGCCTGGACTTGACAAATAAGGCTAGATCTATTTGTATAAGTCTTTTCTTACCAGTATGTTTCCCTTCTTAGTATATTTTAACAAAGTAGCACTTTAAGATGCCATATATCCTGCTTTCTGTATTTCTGACACTTTGTGTCTCATAGTTACTTTTCATGGCTAAAGAACAAAACAGAGGGCATAGAAAGTGTAAGTGGTGAGTTCTATTTTGTCAGTAAAATCATCAGCTAAACCAAATGTTCTGTAAATCATGTTGGACTGAAGAATTGAAAGTGGTCCCTCACTTTGCCCAGTGGCAAAAAGAGGCACACACCCTCAGTGTCATACAGGGGCTATAAAGTCTTCAGTCTCACTGCATCATATTGTGTTGCCTTTCAGAAGCTTGACTAATTGTGCATGCTTAAGCATTTCCAAGCCCCATAAGCAGCCTCTCCTATTCTTTTCCTTTCAATGGCCTATATCTTTCAGATAGCACAAGGGAAAGGAACACCCATGGAAAATCGCACATTACTGAGGCCAAATGTGTGGGCACTTATTAGTGGGGATTCAGGACAGTCTGTATTGCATTAAACTTAATGAGACCATTGTTAATGGATGAACACTGTCTTTGCATGGGACCAGGTTTCTGAAGTAGTTATTATTAGAGTATTTGATGCTTGAAGAGGGCCAGTAAAACTCATTTCAGAATTCTGTAAAATTTACTAGATAGTCTTGAGTCAGAGTCTCAAGCCAACCTTTCTCATGGACTTGATAGGAAGCAGAATAACATTGTGTACCATCTAACCTTGGATGTAAATCTCATAATTTTTTTAAAATGGAAATTAAAAACAACTGCTATTTTGCCACAATAACTCTTAATTCTTACCTGCTTATTAAGAACCAAGGTACTTATTTTTGATGTATCATAAAATCTGTTGACATTTCCCTCATACAACTTTGTTCTGTTAACTTTTTAAAAGAAACTGATAACATTTATTCTAGAGAAAAGTATTGGTTATTGCCAATAAATTGTCAGAGTCCTGTTCCATGTTTACTGTGGTATACTTTTGAGACTGTTTTTGCATGATAAAGTAAACTTAGAGAAGCCATGAATTTCTGATTATGGATCATGACAATATCTGAGTAGTGTAGCTCTGTGTGTGTCCCAAAATTCTGCTTGTCTAGACACATGTAAGAGCCAGCATGTGTGGTGGTTTGTGTGTGGACTTTGGAGACCAGGGTTTGATTCTCCACTCAGCCATGAAACCTACGGGGTGACCTTGGGCACAGGATAAAATGCCCGCTTCCTCAGCCTAAGAAGAAGGCAATGGCAAGCCTCCTCTGACCAAATCTTGTCAAGAAAACCCCATGATAGCTTTGCCTTAGGGTTGGAAATTGGAAACAATCTGAAAGCACACAGCAACAACAAAAGATATATGTAAGCCTTGATAAGGTCTGTTTTCCCTAGAATTTTACATTTTTGTATGCATCTCAACTAAAACAAAAACAACAAAAAAAGTCAAGGCTAAAAGAAACATCTTAAAATTCATTTTAGCAGAATGCCTTTATAGGGCAGCTCAAAAATACTTTCCAAGCTCCTGAATTTCTCTTAAAACTAGGTTGTGAACAAAAGACATGGGGAGTTAAAATCAAGCTGTGAAGTTCTAAAGAATTCAAGAGCTTTCACACTATCTTGTGACCTTGGGTTGATATACTTTAACTAAATTCTGATAGCTAGCTGGCATCAAATTCCTGTTTAGAAATCTCGTGATTCTTCTGGATTTGTCAAGTTGCAGAACTTGATCTTTCAGTTACCATTTTTGTACACTTCTGGTGTCATGTATTGTATCTGTCAGGGAACTGAATCCTTACATTTGTAATATGGTATAAGAGGGATCAGCATATGGCAATGTTTACAGCAAAATCTACTCTTTTGAAGGGTACTACCTGGGCTCTTTGTTGCCAGTGCTGGGTGCAGGGAGTGTGAAAGAGCGCTAGTCATTGTGAAAAGGTTTTCTAACTTCATGCTTTAGAAAGTATGGGTTGTTGTGTTGGCCTATCCACCCTTCTCATATCAGCACTCGACACAAACTAATAGGGATAAACAATGTGCAAATGAGAATATTGCAATGATACAGTGAATTATCAAAGCATGAAAATATGTTTTATAATAGCAGATGGTAGGCAACAGTCTTTTTCAGACTAACAAATACTTTGTCAGCTTGGTTGGGAACTGAGTTAGCAGCCACTAGTTCTTACAGAGTTGCTTTCACAGTCTCTCAGCATATAAGCCCACAGCAATATGTAAACAAGGTTTTGCTTGGTAGAATGACAGAATCAAAGAATCAGAGTTGAAAGAGACCTCCAATTCCCTGCCATGCAGGAACACAGAATCAAAACACCTCCTGTGACAGATGATCATCCATCC